GAGTGCAGTGATGTTTGTTTCTTGACGCACACAAAACATCTTTTGTTTTCAAAAAAATATATCTTTTCTGGAACATTTTTTTCTATTTGAAACACTTGGAAATCTGCTTAAAACAAAGATCCAAGCACAGCTTACGATGTTGCTTCCGCAGCTCTTCCGCAAGCTAACCTCCGTAAAAAAATTTACGATACACTGAGAAATAAATTCCACGGAGATTAAATTGCCTTTTTTCTCTTGTTAATTTGCTAAAAAAAACTGTTATTCTTCATCTCTGATTTTTTGACGTCAGGAAGATTTGACTAATCAAATCTAGTCGGAGATGATAACTGGACAATATGCACATTAATTGTCCTATGCACCCATTCTAAAAAAATAATCACAAAAATGCTCATTTATCGAAATGATTTCGGGACTTTTTTTTCAATCTCTGCAGCAGACTCAAGAAATAATACAATTTAATTGAAGTAATTTCTCGATTACTTGAGGATTGCTGTGGAACAAGTTGACCTGTACAGTCATTCCGTGAATCCCGTTCACGCTTGTCTAGGTTGAATGTTTTTTAATTGGAATCATAATTCACCTAATTTGCGTCCATGCCGACGATCTTCCGCAGGGAAGATCAGACACGATCTTCCCTGTGCATCTTTAATTTATTCTCTATCTTTTATAGCATTTTGTGTTTATCTTGGTTACTTTTGTTAACCCAGGAACCTTTTTCGCAGAGAATCAACCGAAACACTTGATTTTCAATTTTTCTCGGCCTGCTTGAAACAATGTCAACGTGCATATGATTCACCAAACGCGCGTTTGAGAGATTCAGGATCATTGAACAGCTTTTAGGAAGCCATCTCGAAATTGGATAATTAGCAGTTTTTTATGTGTGAATTCGATGCACACATACTGCAATTTCTTCCGGATCCGTTTCCAACTTTCGGTTCGCTCGAAACAATTCTCTCGAGATAACACTTCACTAAACGTGCGTATGAGCGGTTCAGGATTATAGACAGCAATTACGATGAAATCATCTCGCACTTTCCTTGTTGCTACGGAGTCAACGTTTTGTGAATTTACTACACGAGGACACTTCCTTTCGAAATTATGAGAACGTTCGGTTCGCTCGCGATAACATTTCGAACACTTCAATAAACGTGTGTTTGAGCGGTTCAGGATGATGGGTATACCTTCATGGGTAAGCCATCTTGAGCTTCGCTGTATCAGAATTTTTTTTTTTCATGAATTAAATATGTACAGCCACATCTACTTTCGGAAATATCTCCAACGTTCTGTTCACTCGGAACAATTCTCTCGGCATAACACTTCACTAAACGTTCTTTTGAGCGGGTCGGGATCATAGAACTGCCTTTACAATATCTCCAACTTTTTCCGTTTCAGCGGAGTTCATTTTTTCCAGAGTATAATACACACACGAACTCAAACACACGCTCTTGGAATTGTTTCCAACGTTCGCTTCGGTTCGCTCGAAAAAATTCTCTCGGGATAACACTTCACTAAACGTGCGTCTGTCAGATTCAAGAGACAACAAGACGCTCACTTCCCCAGCAGCGCCGGATATCTGCACAGCGTCGGACAAGCGAACCCGCTCATCATTCGCCTTCCCTGGAGTCCGTCCCGCACGCGGTGGGAATTCCCGTCGCCCAGACGCGGCAACCAGCTCCCAGTCACCCAAGCAAACTACACGCGCCCATCAGACCTCGGGTCCTCCCACAAATCCTTCCCGGACTTCCAGCAAAATTCTTGAAAGCATTCGCCTCAACTGGCCCTTTGCTGAATGACGGATGAATGTGTACGGATGCAGAAAAGCCGCGTGAAATAAATTCATTGCTCTTCCATTTCGAAAGAATAGTCGAATTTTTTCAATTTTTGCATCCAGCTGCTGCTCGACCAAATCGCAACCGGTGATCTTTCGTGTAACCATGAGAAATAAATAGCCGGTTTGATCGGTCCAGGAAATTTTACAACACTGGGATGAATGCATAATTTCCAAGAGATAAATGTGGCATTTTCACTAATAATTACCATAATTGAGTACGTGCCAAAAGAGCAGGACCGAAAAATGACGAATTATTGCAGAACAATTCCACAACACGCGGAGGGGAGTAAAAAAAACGCTGAACAGTTGTACCCGGATAATGGACTTGGGCTGCCACGGTTTCTTACTTCGGATAATACACCACAAAATATTCGCCTAGAACGATTTTCTCCGCATAAAATGATTTTTGTCCCATACAGTCTCACTACGAATATTTTAGAGGATAATAATGAAATTTTTTATACAACGGATTTTTCTGGTTTCTTGAATTTCTTCACTGTCCATTTTTAATATAAAAAAAAAATTCCAGCGGGAAATGTGGCTTCATCATTAATTTCTCGAGTGGAAAAAAGGTTTTCCTTCATATCTTGATTGTGTTGAGGATTTTGTCCAACAGATTCCAGTGCCTCGAAAGTTGATATCCGATGTTGTACATCAACCAACTATTCATTCAGAAAAAAAAATTCCGGAAATCTGGAATGGATTAACCGTTTCACGCGGCTCCGAAATTACTCAATGACGTTACTTTTCCGGGGGCCAGGAACCAATTATGTATTCCGTATAGCTTTCGATTGTACGGTACAGTACTCGTTTAATGTATTTCCGATTCGAATCGATCGAGTCAATCAAGTGGTGCACCACTGTGTCGTCATTCAAAAGTAGCAGACGGAGACCCAAGCTTCGCGAATGCCCGCGTTGTTCCTCCTCCACGACTTCCGCTTTTCCTTCCCTGTCCACACAAACACTGTGTTCCTCCACATAGCCTCACTAACTCAAGACACCAATCGTTAGGGCGCGAAAACGAGCCCCGTCCAGCTCGTGCAACAGGAACTGAGAATAAATATATTCCCAACTCCTGCAAAAAATCATTCAATCACGAAACTAAAATAAACAGTAAAATCCCGAACGACGTATGTTGCGCGACTTTTCCGCATATGCGCCAAGAATTGACACCACGCGGTTCAAGGAACGGGAATGAACACGAGTGAGTCGATTCGAGCAGCTGGGAGGGGTGTGGATATCATCATGGCGCATGCTTCGCTACCCCTCCGGTATCCCTCTGGCATCGTACCCAGTCAGGGTATCGGGCTGCGTCGGCTTTCATTCAACGGGCCCGCGACTGATAACGCACCCATTCCTTCGCTCTATCCAGGCATTCTACGCCTAGATCCGATCCTGCTTGACTAATGAAATTCCTATTCTATCACACACTCGTTTACTTTCTTCTCCTCTAACCTTCGGGTACCAAAAATTCACCGGATAAAACAGGACCCCGTACAGTATTTTATTTACAGTCGTACAAGCTCGAGCGTTATTTTCCAGAGATTAAATAGAATTGGATTCCTTCGTGGTCACGAGGCATGACACCTCTCGAGCGCGTTCACAATGACAATCATTTTCTAACTGCATTTGCGGATGTTGCTTAAACAGACGAAGGTCTGTGAAATTTAAATTTTTGAAGGGAGGTCGGATTCCGCGGAAAAACTACTAAATATTTCTCGCGTCAGTCGCACTTCCGCTTTCCACTTCCTTCTCACTTCCGTTCAGCGGCTTACGAAAGGAATTAAGAAAAAAATATTAAGAAATATGTGCAAATGAGTTCCTACGTATATCATGCAAACGGCAACACACACGCTTGGAGGGACAGTTCTTGAATAACCTCCGACACGAAGTTCCGTAACTTTCGGCAGATATCTAACATCTGATGAATCAAAAAAGAATCGCGTCGAAACCTGAACAGAATAAAAATTTAGTAATGCACTGCACTCAAGAAACGAAACAAGTCGATGTGACTTCAACAAAAATAGGAATAATAAAGGAGAGAAACGTAAGAGAAGAAAATGACTCGTTATAATACCAACAAAATCAATGAAACAATGGCGCAAGAAACCGCAGAACAAAAGAGACAAAACAATTGAACGTAGGTAAACACGGGTACGAATTCAACGAATTATCTTCCGGCGAATACAATTAACTGAAATTACGCGGAGTTGACCCGAAGCGACGGACACCATACCACAACAAAAAGTTGCGAAAAAAACTCATCACTAAATTCAGCAAATCACTGCTGAAAATTATTGATAATCATTTCTGAAAAAAATAAGAAAAAGTGTCATAAGATCACATTCTGTTCAGCTTCACTCAAGTATCAGTAACAGATGACTAAATTTCGAAGACTCAATACTGGAACGCTTCCATTTATTGCACCTGGACAGAGAACGCGCTCAAATCCGGCAAAGGATAAGACTCGCAACCAACCCGTAAGAGCTGATCTTTTCTAGCGAAAACTGAAACTACAGTATTTCCATAGGAACAGGGATCGACGAATCGAATACATTGCAACAAGAACATAATTAGAAAAAAAAACAAAGGTCCAACCCATACCTAGCGCTCTTCATGTCCGGTCCCAATGTGAACAAACATTACTTCGTTGCTGACTCTAGGTAGGCGATCAAGTCCTTCCTTTCCGCTTCCTTCTTCAAACCAGCGAACACCATTTTTGTACCCGGAATATATTTCTTTGGATTTTCCAGGTAAATCATCAAGGTATCATGACCCCAGGTAATACCTAGAACAAAATCGAGTTGAAAAAAAACTTCGGAACATAACAACATTTAGCAAACCTTTGTTCTTGTTCGCATCAGTGTAGGCAAAGCCTGGAGCTTGACCCGTTTTCCGTCCGAACAAACCGTGAAGGTTGGGACCAGTTTTGTGCTTCCCACCAGCTTCAACTGTATGGCACTGAGCACACTTCAAGACAAAAATCTGCGAAAATAAAATAAAATTAAACCGAAACCGAGGTAGACAGAAATCAAGCCTTGAAATTTACCTTCTTTCCCTTCTCAATGTCACCCATGGTATAAGGAAGCAAAGCTTGATCACAAAAGAGCGAAAGAAAAAGTCCGCGAGTACTCCTGTGAAAGAAAGCGCAACTTGAGAAAATACAAGGAGGAACGGCTATCTCAAGAATCATTTGAATCCCGCTAATCTTCGCATCAACTGCCCAAAGTTAAATCTCCTTCAGAAGTTAATCGATGACACAGATCAACATGGATGATTCGGGCTACGACAAGCTTGCTTGAAAGAATCGATCCGAAATGTATAAATTAAAACTGACGTTAGATGAAGCAACGTGGATGACTCAGCAATAATGCGGCGTTAGCAAATTCACTGAAGGGCATAAGAGGTATGAATCGAGATTCTTAGCTTGAATGATACGAACGAACACTAATCGTTGCAATTACGACAGAAAAGCACCCTGAGTGACTAAAATCTTAAACGTCATAAGCGTCGAGCCGTCGATCCGATCAATTCAACTGCGATATATACTAGACTTGAACTTTTCTAAAACGAGAAGACGTGAGAAAACAACGTAAAATTAGATTCAATTAAGCACCACACGTGTAACAAGAATCACAGCCAACAAATTTCACTTAACAATTCCGATCTTCCTACACCACTGACCGAACACAGCCTCTGTTCAGAGCTGCGGGGTTTTGTCTGAAGGCTCTTCTAGATCAATATGGCGGCGGACCTGTCACGCGAGGAACACTTGGCTCAGATTCACCGGATGGAGGTCGAGGAGCAAGTTCACAAACGCAGGGAAGCAGGTCACGTGATCACATAAACGGAGTTCACAGTTCACACGGGCGGTTTCGTAAGTCACAGAACACGAGGCTCGCGCATCTCATAGCTCGTAAGCTGAAACGTATCACTCGCCACAAATAGCACCAAAAATCGAATAAAAAAAATTCCGAAGGGTTGCCTAACCCACGTTCATTGAATACTGAGAGTTGCGCGTGAATCTTCAAGTTTTAGCGAAGGACTAAAGATTACTTCGTAGAATCTTTCAAGTACGCAATCAGGTCTTTCCTCTCGTTTTCTTTCTTCAACCCGGCGAATACCATCTTAGTGCCAGGAATGTATTTCTTAGGGTTCTCCAAATATTCGAACATTGTGTCATCATTCCAGGTTATGCCTGAAAATGAAATACAATAGATGAGAAGATAGAACAATCCGAAGCACATCTATTGAAATAAATCACCTTTATTTTTGTTGGCGTCAGTGTACTGAAATCCTTCAGCTCCTCCAGTTTTCCTGCCAAAAATACCGTTCAAATTCGGACCGGTTTTATGCTTGCCACCCTTTTCCACGGTGTGACATTGCGCACATCGCTGAACAAAGATCTGTTGAAAAACGCAAGGTGAATTAAAAAGAACTGTAAAAAATTCACGAACTACCAATGCGTTACCTTCTTTCCGTTCTCGACGTCACCCATAATGATATAACTGCGTAAGTAAATTTCAAAAGCGTAATTCACCTGAAACAAAAATCAAGACATTTAAGGATTTCGAACAAGATGAAGGCGACAATGACATAACCTGAGGAAACGGCTACGAAACGATGAGAAGGTAAGTATGAAGATCACGGATGAAAAATTCAACTTCTGTACGTCCGGATACGAATCGATCATAACCTTCACCTGGTTCGTCACTGAACATCGGCACTTGGAGGCTATCTTCCACATTACGAGCACTTAAATCAATCTGAAAAAATAAGGTATTGATCAAGAGTCTTGTTCGAATTTCAATTACTGTACTGAAAAATCACGCAATAAAATACCGTAGTTTCAACGAATGATCATCTTTCATATTAAAAAAAATCACCAGAAACCAATTTGATATCCCACAGCCATCTCATTGTTCGCTGTTCAACAAAGCCCACAAGATAAAATTCAAAAGGAGAAGGGATGACAAAATTCTTTCAAAAGAATGCTAATTTGAGTGCGAATTTCCGCAATGACCAAGTCGCCACAAAAGAGGTAGCTAAAGCTGTAACAAGTGAATACAGTAAATCTTCGAACTTAATTTTAAATACAGTATTTACGCGATTCTATACCCCTCTTCTTTCCGTAAAAAAAAATTCCCTTCGAAATTCGGGTGCAACCGATGTTCGAGATGCACTGAGCGACAATAATGTCGACCAAGGAAATGGTCTGAAGTAGGTTCTGTCACAACCATTCAAAATACAGTGGATAGGCTGAGAGTGAGGTAGTGAAGATTGCAGTGTATCTCCAGAGTTGGCACACGGTTCCAGGAAAATCGTCAGGTTTTGTACATCCGTAAGTAGAATTTGTCTGTTAAAAAATTCTTTTTCAAATCGGCTGCGGTACGGAGTCTTGAGCGAAACATAATCGCGTAAATACAGTAATAAGCACGCGATCTACTGCTCAAATAAACAGATTTTTGACTTCAACAACTTTGAATACTCGACATGCAAGTTTCACAGCACCAACAGTTGTAGCAACCACAATGGCACCAGCAGCGATCCTCGCTAACCAATGCGCCTTTGAAGATTTCAGGTGAACAAGAATTTCCTCCACTTGATGCTCAGTGCGCGCGATACTGTACGAATCGTTATCGATTATGTAATCAGCCAACTCCGCCTTCGCATTAAGTGGGATCTGCGCTGCAATCCTCATTGCAGCCGCTTCCTCGTCCAAATCATTGCGACGCATCAAACGCTCCAATTGTTCAGTCTCAGAGCTGAAAACGATGCAACAATCAGAGCAACTCACGCGGAAGTCCTTCTCACAGTCATGCAGGGAAAAGTATCAGGTAAGTGAAAACTTTCGCGATCGATTGAGTAATTTCAAGGACAGTCAGGCAGTAAACGCCTCACAAGAACACTACTCGGACAAAATCAACACCCTGAAGACGGAAATGCCAAAGATTCGATGCTATTTTGACAATCAGAAAGCAAAAATTTCTACCATTTCCTTTCAGTGAGTCCCACGCAAATTCTTGAGCCCAGCGGTGCACAGACTGGGCATTAATGATCCAGTTTATTCCGCTTAGGGCGTTCATTTAGCAGAGAAACTATGTAAACCGCAGTCAACGCAGCTTTGATTCGAGAAACGCATCCCACTAGGAAAATTAACACGGCTGACAAGAGCCCAACATAGCAGTTCAATTGTTCGTGGTTGCGAGAGTATTTTCGCTACTTCGGGAAAAATAGAATTCGAATTTGTAGAAGTTATAAAAACGTACCAGGTGACGACAATAACCTTGTGAAGAAATGGTAAACTTGCACCACTCTCGTACAACAATGGTAATTCGAGAATAATGAATTGGGTGCCTGCAATCAAGAGTAAATGCTTTAACGGTTGCTCATGAATCACTAATGCATCTTTGCAATCAACCAATCATACCACGCAGGAAATGCCTGAATGCTTCCCATGCCATTTCCCTGTAGATGGCCGGATGCGTAAGCTTGTTCAAAGTTTGACGAAGGCGTTTATTCGGAAAAATCATGTCCGCAAGCTTTCGACGATCGATCTCACCGTCGGGAGACAAAACGTCAGGTCCAAACACTTCCGTTATTGCAGCGTGAACATCTGTTCCTTTCCTGACAACTTTTAAAACATGAACACAAAATAAAAAAAATTCTTCCGGTTTCTTATTACTTGAGCGCTACCTTTGCGTGCAACCAAGTCGGCATCTATAACGATGACGCCACGATTTCGAAACATGTCTGCAACCGTTGATTTACCGGAGGCAATGCCTCCAGTAAGTCCCACGAGGAACATATTGAATCCACTTTCGAGAACTCCCCAAATCGAACCCTCACACAAATGTTGACCGATCACAAAGTAGACATTGCGAAATGCGCAACGGCGGTTCGTTTCCTTAATTGCAAAGCATTTTGAGAATTGCGACGTTGTAGTATGATTCCCCTCGCTTTAAAAGCTTTCTACAGTATAAATAACAATCCTACACGGACTCACGTGGAAAACTGAGGCACCGCAGGTTCTGGGATTCAAAGCACAACAATTTCATATATGAATCAACACTTTCACACTTCAAATTGATCGCACAAATTGTCTCGATGAATAACACAAAAATCATCGCCGCTGCGACGATACCTTGTACACCCATACGGTATCTATTCCTTCCCCTATCGTTACGAAAGGACTCCAACCAGGAATTGGAAACCTGCACGCGACAACATGCGCATCATCATTCAACTCAGTTGAGAACTTCTCGCCGAGTGGTGCCATCTGAAATATGAGACGCTGTATTCTCCCGTATAGTAAGGCCTATACGACATCACCTTACCATTTCCTCAACTCCGAAAATCACCGTTGTGCCATAACCACGCATATTCATCTTCCATAAGTCGTTACGACTAAACGACGTCCTATCAAATATTTGACGACCCTTCGCAAGAGCAGCGAAGCGCGAATATAAAACAAGCCATACGTTCAGCTCAACCCCATGAGCTTGAAAACCTCGCTTTGCGGCTTCAAAAACCTTGTACAAAACGTGTCATTGAAAAGTAACGGCAATATAAGAAACATCTCGCAATAAATCACATTACAATTCGCCCGTCGCCACTTCCGACATCCAGCAGTGGTTTCGACTTCGGACATAAATTCAGGGCCTTCTGAACATTGAAAAGCTGATCTGTGGTGGCTACAACATAAAGATAGACGGCATGATCGAAAATCGAATCGGAATGTAAGGTTCAGCGTCAAAATAACCTGGGAGATATGGAAGACAAAATCTTCTCAAAGCGGGTGTCACGAACGGAGCAGATACGGCAGTAATTCCAACCGCCACACCACCAGTCAAACCAATAAGGATCCACGGCAATCTTGACGATTCAGACTTCGATTCCTCTTTCATTTCAAAAGCCAATGTAACGTGGAAGTATTCCAACCTTCAAAACAATCTTATTCACAGGATTACACACCCTTAAGACCTACATCCCTTCGGGAATAGCCGAAACGGAGCTTAGGTACGCTACAATTCCACAAAGCTGCGTACCAATCCGACAAATTGATCGCGCACGAGCTACCTCGGCAACGGGCCCACGTCTGAATGCAAGCGTGATCTGATCACGTCACGTGTCGCTACTTGAATGACTCGAAATCGAAATCACTTCCGAACTCGTTTCCATTTGTAATGAAACCGAAGAACCTCCTTTAGCACAGGCTAACGAATCCTCATACGACCATCATTCAGATTCGTTTTCTTATGAACTAGATGTCGCTGCAACAAAATACGAAACGAAATGAAACAGGGGTGCCCGAAACCAATATTTCGCGGAGATTCCAGCATATGCGCATCACCTATTGCAAATTTATTCTCTTTTATCTACTGTATTGTACTCCGGAAACTGAAAGCTAACCGAACGTTATCCCGGGGACCTTCATTATGTGCATCCTCTTGTATCACATCCACATAAATCGGAAAACATTTCCGTTCAAGCTCGTCATCGGTTATAATCGAGACGCCCATTATGACCGGAAAATAAATCCCGTTCATTATTGGGAACAAACTTCAAAGTTGGCTGGAAGTAAGAGGAGTTTGCTCTTGAATAGTTGAATCGTTGTAAAAGCTACTGTAAATAATTAGTACAATAAAACACAGCACACATCGAAGCTCACACACAGTCTAAGATTAAGTTATTCCTATGGATAAGAATGACGAAAACCCTTTTTTGTTCTCCCAATTTTTTTTTGCAGCATAGATCAAACAACTATATAGAAGCAGTAATTCCCAACTCAGGCTATAATTGCCAGGGCAGTGTTTTTTTTAATATTTCAAAATGTCCATTGAGGAATTCCAGCAAAATATCCAAGCACTGCTGCCAAAGGGTTAGGCATGCACTGATCAAGGCCTTTTTTTGTTTGTTCGAACCACCAGCATCTTCGGCTTTAGTGACATCTATACAGAAGAATTAAAACGGGTTTTCCCGTATATGTGGCCCACCAGAATCGTGACACCTCTTCTCTTTTCTCAACACCCAAACTGCTCAATTATTTTTATCATTTATTTTTCGAATGTGTGTGTGTGTGTTTGGGGATTCACATTCAGATACAGAAACGTTTCCGGGCAGTGTGGAAACCGCGGACAGTCCGAAGGGCTCTTGGTTCGCCATGGACACCGTATCAGGTCGGGTCTCCGTGACCATGGAGACTCTGCAGCAGCGAGCAGAAGTAGACTCGGACATCAGCGACGACTTTCCCAGGTCGTCCATTACACCCGCTGTATTAGCTCATCAGGGCCGACTGGAAGGACTGCTCAAGGAATTCCAAGCCAACTCCACCAGATATCTGGGATTTAAGGTCTTGGTCTTTGAGCCCATGTGAGTCGAAAGAAGGATGATGACAGATGATGAAATATACAACACATAGACCAAGAGAGCTCAACTTTTGAAATGACGAGATATCACTGCCTTGTGAAAGGCAAAAATTTAATTAGCCTTTTACAAAAAAAAAATCTGAACCAGATTTATTTTTATGGGTACAGTAAATGACTGGGGCCCCGAGATGCGGACGTAATTGGTGCTTGGACCATGTCCCTATGCTGGTGCATCCATATGTTAGATCATGTTTTCCTGTAAGATTCAATAGAAACATATTCAATTGGTTCACCTGCTCAGCAAAAATTAGGAATAAATAAGACCCCAAAAGTGAATAAAAGTTACAGTATTTCTCAACTTCAAAATACAGAAAAAACTGTTCAGAAGAAAACCACACAGAATCTATCTTGTGGCATCAAATCAAGAAAAGGTAGAGGTATATTGTGCACAAATTATAAAAAAAAAAACTCCGAAAAATGAGCACAAAATTAGCCTGTTTTGGAATATAAATTATAAGTTTGAAATAAAATGTCCTCTTAATTTTTAATTCTAGATCAACGAGGAATACTTGAATTTCCCTGGATGACATAACATATTTTCAAGTTTTAAAAAAATTGTATAGCAGCTTCTTTTCAGTGCAAAAAACGCAAATGATCTGACGGAAAGTAAATTGATAATAAGTCAAAATCTGTGTATGAATAATAGAGCTCCCTCGTATACTGCGTATATTTTCAAAATCTTGAATAAAGGCTTATTTTGTTCTGTGGAATATTTTCCAATTGTTAAAGTACGATATGCAAAATAAATTATTCCAGAGGTCACACAGTACAGTATTTCTCAAATGGATTGATGAATGTACTGTACAGCAAGCTTCATTTGCTGCTTGTCAACGTTCACAAAATTTCCCCACCTCTTCCCACACACCCATTAAACACATTCTGGCCCAGCCTTCAATGATAATATTGTAATTATTTAAATGGATCGTGAGCAATTCCTTGAAAAAATTCTGCAACGCCCACAATATCTCCTGCTGTTTTCTCCATTTTGGATAAACACTACAGTGAGACCCCAAGATGCGGACGTAATTGGTTCATAAAGAGTGTCCCTAAGTCAAGTCTCATTTTCCCTTAGACTTACATTATACAATTTTTAATTTGTGATTTCTGTACAAAACACTCACCATAATTCCATGAAAATAAAAATTGTATCCCAATTTAAACTGATTCCAATCAATATATTTCAACACAATATGGCATTTGGGGAATTGAATACTGATACCTCTGTATACAGTACATAGAAATGTTGGCATTCTCTGTAAAAATAACATTCAAGTGAAAAAGAGAGAAGGAAGTCCCTCTTTGCTGGAGGTAATTTTTTAATAAAGCTAAATGGATGGTAAATTGGTGAGAGAAATACTCGAGAACTTTTCTTAAATCAATTTTAGTGTTGGAAATATCTGTTTCTTGTAATTTGGCCTGAAATTTATTTGCAATTTTATAACAAAATGCCCCTCTGTTGAGTCAGTGTCCTCATGTTGGGCCTATTTTATTATTTTTATGGGAAAATAAGTGTCCCTATGTTGAATTGTCTGCAGGTCAAGGTGTCCGCATGTGGGGGTCTCACTGTATAATTTTTCCACTTAATCCTTCAGAAATTTAATTAATCCTCGATATGATTTCAGTTGTCTGTCCAACAGATTGATCCATTTTGCCAATCTTCATTCCTGGCTTCCGATCAGTGCAGTAATTCCACACCCTTTGACCCAATTAAGTGCGAATTCAATATACAGTACACAGAAATGTAATAATGTGAATCGCAATTTTTTTCAAAGCTCGGTAGCAGACCCCACGCATCTCGGCAAAAGCGTGCGATCTTACGAAGTTTGGCACTATTGCAACATGATATCCCCGCCAGAGCCGTCGAATCCGAAAATATTATCGCAGAAGACCGGTGGAATCGGCAATGCCGTTCCGCCATTCTATTGGCGAAAAGTTGCCTACGCAAGGGAAATGTGAGCAGTTATTTTTCGCAAATTTGTTTCCTTGGAGAAAAATGAAAAAATTCCTAATGGAGGTGGGCACAGTCGCACGTTTCCCGTTAAAAATGTGACAGGTTCTTGGAACATCAGGTGGAATCAAGCATAAAAATTCTTAAAAATTCACCTGAAAATCCTCTCTTTAAAAGATTATTCTTAAGTTAGGAATGATGGTAAGAGGGAGGGGGGCAATTAGATGAAAAATAAACAATCCCAGCAATACACATGTTGAAAAGGGTTTGTATGCTTGGGAACCCCTAGTGATGTAAAAAAAAATTCAGCAATTTTGGAACATTCACCCTTACAAAACTTAGCAGAAATTTCTTAAAAATACCTCAAGAGTCAAGAAAGTGTGCTAGTACAGTATTTACCTTTTATTCAGAGTACCGTATTCACTCGAGTACCATGCGCACCTTTTTTCTCAAATTTCAGAAGAAAAAAAGGGGTGTGCATCATAAGTGAGTAAAAATTTTTCAAGAAGTTTTGGAAAGTTCTATGTGTATTATACTTAATCATAATAGAGAAATTCGGAAAAAAAAAAGTGACAAGAAAACTTTTTTGTACTGAAAAAGTTGAAAATTGGTCAGATTTTTGTTAAATTCATGTCTAAAGTCAAATTTTTTGTTTCTATTTTCAAATTTTGTGATTTTAGATTTACAAAAAATTGGGGTACGAGTCATACTTGGGGATAAGATTTTAGCCAAATTTCCAACTGAAAAAACCCTGTGCCTTACTTGAGGGCGCGTGGTACTCAAGTAAATATGGTATATATTTTTTATTAACAATTACATTTCTTTTTGAAGATCACTGTTTTTAATCATTGAAAAACATCTGAAAAGGCCACAAAAGGAAGATGTTGAATATATGCAGGTCTAATTTAAAGAAAATCTTCCAATCAGTCAATAATTTTCCAAATCTCATTTCAAAAAATTACTTGTTAGAACAAACTTTTTCTCAAGTTCCCACACTTGACAGTTTTGTTGTAACAAGATTTTAATGTAATAAATAAGCATGAAACAAGTGACGCAATAAAAATAAAAGAAAGTGTACACCAAAAATATAGGTTAAACATTCAAATGGCTTTTTCTTGAAAATTTCAGGTTTGCTAAATTCATTGATGGTCGAATGATGGAGTTTAGAGCAGTGGACGAAGGCAATTTCCAAGATTACAAGCGGTCCCTTGTTGACGGACTTTTTGGCATCCTCACTGATAGATACCAGTGAGTACAGTACAGTATTTTTTTTTATTTAGTAAGAAAAAATAAATTCTTGAACTCGATGTATAGATTTTTTCCTCAATTTTTTTTTGTGGCTCATTCTAGAAATTACCCAGACAAGCAGCTGAAGCAGCAAAGCCCCAACTTCACAGACGCCGAGTGTTACTCCTACTCGGAAATGTTGACAAGATTGCGTGAGCGTAATTACGGCACCAGGTAAATCAATTTTCGCCAATTTGTTCCCTTTACGTCTTGTGATCAGAACATGCCTGAAACAGCGATTTATGAAAACGACTTTCACACTCTTCCCGCATAATGTGGAACAGGCTGCAAACCATCATACTCGTTGATCACGACGACAAGGTTCATTACATTGAGCGATTTTTCACGCGCGCGCCGGAAGACTTTCAGTACAGGGAGTCCAATTTGTGGATTTATCTGCCACCAATGCACGCAGAAATCCGTGCTAAAAAGCTGAAGGACGAAGGAAAAGAGGAATCAAGAGTGGATGAAGAACAACCGCCAAGAACGCAGATGTTCAGCGCCGAGGAATCCATGAGCCAACATCAGGATGCGCGGGGGAATGATTGAAATCCCGCGTTTCAAGAAAAGAATAAATTATGATGAAGAACTGTTTTCATTTTATTTTATTTTTCATTCCGTTTTGTGTAGGAATCTCTTTTCAGTGTACTAGTGATACTTTGCAATTTGACCTACGACTATTTTATGGTCAAATTTGCAGGAAGGTTGACTTGAAATCCAACCCTTGCCCCAAAATTTGACCTGCTTTGGCCAATTAAATATTTTTCTACTGATTTTTTAAAATTTAACAAAGTGTCTCGCAATTTGACTGCTTTGCAATTCAACCCTAGTTTTGCAACTGATTAGGGTCAAATTGCAAGGAATCTCTTGTATTGTTTTGTGTGGTATTGGTACTCACAAACTTGGGAAGTTTTATTACACCACAAAAAATAATCCAATATTTTGCCGAAGAAAGGGGGGGGGGTGAGGTACAGTATAGTTGAACGTAAATAAATTGGACCTAATTCTGTCAAATTTGTTTAAGTACCTGTCTGAATTTCCCTTTGAAACAACGCATTAAAAACCTCTCTAACTCAAAGGCTTTCCTCCTTGAACCTCCATAACTAAAGTTTTATGGAGGTATTGGCTGTTATTTTCTTGACACGGGCACGAGCAAAGCAAGAAAAATGTAAATTCAAGTGTTTGCAAGGAAGTGGAAGACCAATTTGGCAAATGAACCCTTTCCTTCAAGTCCTTCATCCCTTCAATTAATTTTGCATTTTGTCAACTGAAGAAGCAATCAAGTCCTATGAGTATCACCAATTACAGTTAAACCTCTATAAGTCAAACCTCTCAAAGTCAAATACTGTACTTCCCTACCTCAATTTATTTTTCAAGTCCTTGTCTGAATTCCCTTTGCAACAATGCATTAAAAACCTCTCTAACCCAAAGTTTTTTTGCCCAACCCTCTATAAGTCAAATTTTCTGAGGCCTTTTAGTGACTATTTCCTTGAAAATCAATGAAACATTTGATTTTATGCATCTTGAAAGGAAGTGAGAGACTAACCAAACAAATGAACCCCTGCATATAAGTTCAGCAAGCTTAGGCCCAGAATATTGTCATTTACAATTTCCTGCAATTTTTTTTTACTTATCCTTGCAGCAAAAAAAAAATGATTGTTTCCCTAACTCAAAACCCCAAAAAATTGAAGCCTCCCTGAGCCAAATTTTTTTCCTGGCCCCTAAAAATTTGACTTCAACAGGTTCAACTTTACAATTTTCTGTAATTCCTCTCTCTTTCCCCTACACAAATGTTTGTTTTCCTAACTCAAAACTTCCCTGACTCTAATATTGTTGCTGGTCTGTTGAAGTTTGACTTGAAGTATATGCGATCAACTATATGCGGAACAAGTGCATACAACAGAAAGTATGAAAAGATAGCCAAGAAGTTCTTGGTTTGCTGTAGAGAGGACTAACAGGTCCTGAGCAAACCTATCTCAGGTTTGTGCACCAAAGAAACTTTTCTGCTCAGGAAACTTCCTCCATTCCAAAACATACACAGGCATGCAGGAATTACAATTGTGACTTTGTCCTTTTTACAAATATATTTAAGTTTCCTTATACTTTCAAGAAGTTAAGCACATTATTTTGAGATTTGAATTATGACAGTGGTGTAATTTAGAATTGTCCTTTCAATTTCACCAGAGTTCAAAATGACAATGTCTTAAAAATACATATTGCAGGAGCACTTCACAGCATTTTTATACTTTCCCACACAATGTCATTACAAAATGTGTTTGAAAGCATGAGTCTCAATATACATAAGAATTTTGTATCAAAAGAAATGTTTTCCAAGTTCCTTGTAAGTTTGTCATAATGAGCTGTTACTTCATATTTACTGCTACAACTTCAATTTTTCTAAAAGGTGTTATAATTCATACAGAGCCCAATTAGATCAAAAAGATTCTGGAACAATATTTTTTTCTTATTGCGAATCTTTTAAAAGAGCCCACCTCTATATAGTGAATTGACCCTTGAAGATTTCAAAGATATTGAGCTTCAAATCCAATCCAACAATTTCAGCTCATTTATTCTTCAACTAAATTGTTTGAGATCCATAAACAAATTGGACCAGGTTCTATTACTTCAAGACTTGATATACGTGGAATTTACAGAGTCCCTTCAATTTTGACAAAGGAGTTCAATTGGAGTAATTTAATTCGTGATCAAAGAAATATGGTAGAGTAGAAGATAAAAACAATTCCATTAAAATCTAATTTGCAAATGTATTGAAGTGGTGTTGCCTGAAAATTGGCCAACAGTGTTCTGGACTACCCTGATGTCCATCAACGGTATAGAGCATCTTGGATCATCCAGGCAACAAATAAAAATATATCTGCTCCTAGAATACTCCCCCCTCATATGAGTCAGTCCAAAAAGAGTCTCATCTGCGAAGTCCCACCAATCTACACAGAGGCAACTTTACCTTCCTCCTCATTCTCCTTCAACTCATCTTTGCCTTGACTGGAGAAGTCATCAGGCCGTCCTTGTGTGTATTTGCCTGCTGCTAGCCATTTTTTTTCAGTACATTCCGCATGACCTAACACGCGTTTGCAGGGGGAAAACAAATCTATCATTTGCATTTCTTCTCAGAGAGAAACCCTGTCTTCCCTTGAACCGGTCTACCACGCACCCCCCTTCTGAAAAGGCGTATCTTCAAACACCTTTTCTGAAGGCGTGTTTAATATTTGTTCTAGAAGGTGAGGGGGGGGGGGGAAAGACAAATGATCGGGCTTCGTTCCTGGACACGGGTCGGCGAGCAACAAGGGGGGGGGGGGGACCCCGTATAGAACAGGACTGTGCTGATGGGAACGGAGTGCTGGCGACGCGCTGGGGATGGAGAACAGATCCCACTGCCATGTGATCAAAAGCTTCTGCTTTGCATTTGCTAATAGCAGACCAGAACCACACCGATAAGAACATTGGTGTGGGGAGATGATGGAGAGAGAGAGAGAGAAAGAGAACCAACGAAAGAAGAAGGACTGGATGAACTGTGGTGGGGAGCAAGAGCAAAGCCTGCACCACCCAAAAGATGGGCCCATGAGGATACTGGTGGTAATTTAACCTCCCGCAATTTGACAGTCAAATTTGCAGAAAGGCTGACTTGCAATTCAACCCTTGCCCCACAATTCAACCTGCTTTGGCCAATTTTTTTTTTCATTTTTGTACTGATATTTTTTTATTTAACAAAGTGTCTTGCAATTTGACTGCTTTACAATTCAACCCTAGTTTGAACATTGCTGTAGGGAGATGATGGAGAGAGAGAGAGAAAGAGAACCAAGGAAAGAAGGACTGGATGAAATGTGGTGGGGGAGCAAGAGCAAAGCCTGCACCACCGAAAAGATGGGCCCATCAGTATACTGATGGTAATTAAACACTCCTGCAAATTGACAGTCAAATTTGCAGGAAGGTTGACTTGCAATTCAACCCCTGCCCCACAATTCAACCTGCTTTGGCCAATTTTTTGTTGTTGCATTTTTGTACTGATATTTTTTTATTTAAAAAACTGTCTTGCAATTTGACTGCTTTACAATTCAACCCTAATTTGGCAATGGATTAGGGTCAAATTGCAAATTACCACCTGTATTTACTGTATACACTCAAGCACCTTTTTCCCCCTTTTTTCCCCTCAGAAGTCTAATCTTGACCAACAATTTTGGTGCATGTCCAACAGTGGGAAAGATTTTTCTAGCTTTTTTTTTAGTGCGCACCATAGTCAAATCATATTACATACAGTACTTGAAGTTTAAAATAAATTATGAGGCACCTTTCAGGTATGTAGTTCAAAAGATTGCTAATGGCAAATATGATTGCTGTACAAGTGGTAAAAATTGACTCCAAGGCCATTCTCTGCAGAACACGCCAGAGCAATATATTTTTGGGAATTGATTATTTAATCATTGAGTGTTGAAAATGGAATTTAAACTAATAATTATCTCCAATTTAAACCCTGAGCGTAGCTAATGCTTAGAGTTAGATTTGTGAGGTCAAGGAAGGCCTTGCACAGGTTTGAATTTTATTGTCCTATGGTGTTCTCAAGTATTGGCCTATTTTACGCACACCCTAATAAGCAAAAAAAATGTGTGTGTTTTATGCACATCTAGTTTTTTCTCTGGGGCTTTTCTAGTGTTTGATTATTTTTCTCATTGTGGAGTTTTCAGAAATTTTTCAATTGGGGGCATATACAAGTACTGTATGATGCCTTTGTCACAAACCAGCTGGTGGTTAAAGAAATCATTTGTAAAGCAGCTCCAATACTATTGTCTTATTTACTTTCAAATAAGTGACATCTTTCTGAAAAGTAGCACTGAACTTTAGAAATACATGGTATAAAAAGAAGTCTGGTGATATATTAGCTAGCTTGTCCATGCTTGTGGATTGTCTTTCACACATTTCTCTTCCTTCAGCTTTTGATTCAAAAAACACCTGAAAAGCTTTCAAGGTAATGTTTTTATTCGTCTTTTTATTTTTTCTGGAAAGCTATTTTCCCCATCATAACCTCTGATCCACTCTGATTCTGCCAGTGAAAAAAATTTTCAAAGTTTCTGTTCTTTATTCAGCTCCAGCATCTTATTGACCCTCAAATTTAAAATTTAGAATTTATCAATTGTTATTCAGCACATGCCAGGAGTGTCATGATATCAGTAAACAGCTTGAAAATAATTTCAGAGGTCTTCGTTGACATTTGTAAGCCAGAAAATATGTTCATGTTTTCTCATTTTTGAAACGATGCCTAATCAACTTTTGCCGGAGTCTTCACATACCTGCATCAAGAAAACAATAAATAAAATCACTTTCCAACCTTTCGTCCAAATTTTCAAATTTTTAGACGAAGCAAAGGAAAAGGAGTTTTTTAAGGGACGACAAATTAGAATTAGAGGGTGGGATTTGTCTGCTGTTGCTTACTTGAAATTATGAAAAGACACTGAAATACAGGGATCATTGAGTTTAAGTTTAAAATATTCTACGGCACTAAAGCTTGAAACAATTGCACAGATGTCATGAACAAAAGATGAAGATGTCATGAACAAAACAATGTTACAAAACAAAAAC